TGTTTTAGAGATTCTTAAATCTTCATTTAAAGAACTGGACGTCCGATTTATAGTAGTCTCAATCTGCCTACGTAAAAGTGCTAGTTTATGGCATTCGGTCGTGAAACATATTTATTTTATAGAGCTGCCTTGCGAAATTTTGGTGGGTGGCACCCTGCACCGAGCAGTGCTTTCACCGCTACCAAAGCTTTGAATAAACTTCTAGTAAGCCAAAATTTTCAAGGAATCAACAGGGTAGGCATTCTAATATCGGGCCAAATTGCTTCTGGTTTGAGTGAAAGCGCCACGAGCTAATACATATTTTACAATTCCATCCTGGTTCTTGGAAAAACTGCAATGTTCTACAAGGACATATAGTATGTACATAGGAACATATGTATGTATGTATGTATGTAATCTACCGTCAAATTTAAACTCAAATTAAGAATTTCGCAAAGGGCCAGACATTTCGGCCCCAAGTACAGCTGCAGCGGATACAACTGGAATGGAATAGGAGAATTACAGTGAAAGCTCTCATAGACGGACGCTCTAATAAGTGGACACATTCTTGGGAACGAACAATCTTTGGTTTCTTTTTTTAATACAAATTGCTCTCCCATACACGGACTTTCCAATAAACGGACGTGGACACTCAAATATGTCTAGTCATGAAAGAAAATCTCCCATAAGCGAACGCGAAGCTCTAATATGAGGTAGATTTTGTTTTTCTTTTCAGTCAAATGTTGACTCTTGCATTTGTAATATACAAATAAAATTCCAAAATTAGGAACTAATTAAAAATTCAAAATTCACTTCTTGATTGTTTATGATGCATTTCATCGAATATGAGACCCCACATCGTTTTATGCAATAAACAGTTTTAGTTAGTTACGGCTTGTTTTGCATTTCAGCGACGATGTGAGATTCTATATGAGAACATACGTACATACGTACACATTCAAAGATATTTTCTTTTCAAGAAAAAGTATTGCCTTTTCGTTGCCCTCTTCTTGCTGCTTGAGCGAAGCGGGTAATGAGATTTGTCGGTAGGAAAGAAAAAGCCACATATTTGAAGTTATTTTTAATTCATTCTGATTCTGTCTATTCAAGAAAAAATATTATTGGAATTGAAAACCCCGCAATTTAAATTTTTTTAAATTTGAATTTTAATATTATTTTTTTACGAAATTCCCGTCAGCGAACATCTCTTATAGGCGGACAAAAAGTAGATGCATTATGCAATAATACAAGGTTGTATCAGCTGTGACAGCTCGATTTGATACTGCCTTAGCTTAGTAAAATAAGAAGAAAAACGGGAAGAAATTAATCCCCATTTGGGGGAAAAATATAAAATTTCATGTTTTCCTATAAACAAATGAAATGAAATAAAATAATATAAAATACCTTTTTAAGAAAACAAGAGGAAAAATAAAAAAAAACATTCAACTACATATATTATTAGGAAAGAATTGTTAAAGAAGTAACACTGTTTCACCTGAAGCAGTCAATATGGCGGAATTAGAGCGAGAACCTTCAAGCCGATAGATAACACCTTGTATTAATGCATCATGAAGCAGATGATGATCGGTGTCCGCTTATGGGAGCTTTCACTGTACTTGGTAATGCATTCACTGTTTAGTTTCGTTAATTTGTACACATACATACATATAAACGTTCATAAATACATACATATATCTATACAGTGTTGTGTGTACGATTATGGAGACATTTGTGTGCGATTATCAATTTCGTATTTGCGGCCAACGACCAAAATAAAGCCATAATAGCCAAATGAAAATAAAAAAAGAGCATAATGGTAAGAGAGATACTTACATACATATGTGTGTTTGTATGTACTGCGATCTATTGGAAAAGTGTGCTCGAAATACAAACAAAAATGAATTTTGTAGTATTAGTTAGTAGCAGTTGCCAATGGTAAA